ATTCCATCAACATTTTAAAAAATCATAAAGGAGCTCTTTCTCAAATTACTGTATGCAAATACAAGAAGAAGACTAGGGTACAAATCCTTACAGTGTATCACTGTGAATGGTTTTCTTCCAGTCAAAGGCTTTTTAGTAGCATACCCTTAATTGTTAGTGAAAAGTAAGCAACCTTCTCTCACAGCTTTAATTATGTCTGCATTTTTTAAAATGTCTAACCTTACCAAGAGGTCATTCCTGCTTGTTGTTTTCATCTGTATGCAAATAAAGGACTATCAACTATTCATGTGTGTGTGGTATGATACTGTGGACTGGTCGGGGAAGGCATTCTCACTGAGCTATATCCCCAGCCCTTTTTAAATTTTTTTAGACAGGGTCTTGCTAAATCACTAAATTGCTCAGGCTAGGCTGGAACTTGAGATCCTCCTGCCTCAGCCTTTCAGAGGGCTGGGATTACAGGCATGCAGCATCACACCTGGCTACAACTACCAACTTTAAGAGAAAATATTAATACTAGCACTCTGAGAGGCTGAGATAGGAGAACTGCAAATTAAAGGCCAGCCTGGGCAATTTAGTGGACCTTATCTAAAATTGTAAAATGGAAAAAGGCCTGAGCTAGTGCTGAAGGTCTTAGTGCTAAGGTCCTGGGTTTAATCCCCAGTAAGGGCAAGTGAGTACAGCCCATACAGAAAAAATAATCTTCACATTGGTAACAATCATGTTGTTCTGGGTCCTGCTACCTTCATAATTAATCACAATTTTTAAAAAATCCTATTCCTGCAAATCATGCAGGCAACTACAATAATCAGAAATTCAGGGCTGGGGATTTAGCTCAGTGGTTCTGCCACCTGCCTTGCAAGCGCAAGGTCCCAAGTTTGATCCTCAGTACCAAAAAAAAAGAAATTCAAGGGTGAAGGAAAGCACTCCTGCTGGACTGTCATCTTTAGAGATACAATAACTTGGACGGGCAGAGATTCACGATTTAAATTAACAGGTTTAAGAGATAACTGAGTAATTTAATTTCATCAGCAAGAGTATTTTATTTATTTATTTTTTTGGTACCAAGGATCTAACCCGGGTCCTTGCACTTGCACAGCAGGTGGCAAAACCATTGAGCTAAATCCCCAGCCCAAGAATATTTTAATAATGAACATTCAATAATCTAACACAAACCTCTAATGACTGAACTGTGTTTACCTACCATGGGTTAAATCAGATAATATGAAAGTTAGAAGACAATGACAAATCTGATCCACAGCATTCTGGGTGGGGGTGGAGTGTTGGACATAAATGAGATGTTCTATTTGAATTATGTGGCATTAATTAATTTGCTTTTATTTGGATATGTATAATACTGCTTTTACCACATACTACTTTCACCACAGTAAAGAAGAGAAGAAAAACATGTGATCTCATAATAACAAAAATGCTGACTATATGGATTTGGATCAGACAGGGAGAGGAAAGCTAAATGACAATAGAAAAAACTATGCACCACTTGTAAAAAGTAGGATATAAATGATTACTGAAGAATATAATTGCAGGCTGGGGATTTAGCTCAGTGGCACTGTGCCTGCCTCACAAGCTCAAGGTCCTGAGTTCAATCTCCAGTATAAAAAAAAAAACAAAAACACAAAAAACAAAAAAATATATAATTTCACTTTAATTCATGCAGTTTCTGACTCACAGTCATTATAATAAACAGTTTCCACACATATTATTTTCTTCATTCATCATAGCTTTGAATACTTAAAGAACTCCTTCATTAAGAGTGTTTTTAATGGACTGTCCCCAACCTGAAGTTCCTTCTCCTCTGTGGATTTTATAACGTTCATTTCTTTACCCTCAGGTATGATAAAACACTTTCTTTTCAAGGCTGGGACATCTCACTTGGAAATCTCCCCAAATCTGTCATATGTGAGGAACTGCTATTGGAGTTTTAATGTAACTAATTGTCAGTTACAGTCCAGACTATGGTTAACTGGCCAAGTTTGGTCAAGTTACTCGACTTCACCATACCTGCATTTCTTCAACATGAATAGGACAAGATTAAGCTTTTTCCTAAGGGCCACTCTTGGTCCACCTCCCAGTCTTAACAGTTTATTGTATCACTTTACACAGACTGGAAAGGAACAGTTTTTCACATAAACTAAAACAGTATTTTTTAAAAAATTATACATGTAATTTTAAATCCTTTTCCTTATTCTTCAGGGACGCAGTAACTTCAACAGCAGTATCAAACTCTGAATCAGAGGAACTGGCAAAAGTTCAGATTATGAGCTAAGTTGCTCAGGAACGGCAGAAAATCAGACAAATTTTGCATTCATTCTGTCACATGATGTGGCTAATTTTCAAAATTTCTGGGTTGGGGAAGTGAAAAGATTTTTCAGAGGTACCATGCTATAGAGGCAGGGATAACAATTCGCTCCCTAATTCTGTTCCACAAGTAAAGTTATACTGTGCAGCTCTCTTGATAATGCAGCACAGACATAAGATGAGATTCCCAAATGTAGGAAGGCCAAGGGCCGGGGATTTAGCTCAGTTGGCATCGCCCCTGCCTTGCAAGCACAAGATCCCGAGTTCAATCCCCAGTACCAAAAAACAAAAGTATTTAGAGGCCAGGGATTTAGCTCAGTGGTGCCGCAGCCGGCCTCACAAGTGCAAGGTCCTGAGTTTGATGCCCGGTACCAAAAACAAAAACAAAGAAGGCTAAGAGGCAGGCAAAATACTACAGCACAGTGACTTGACTCTTCTTTTAAATCCATGCTCTTCACTCAAAGCACACCTTGTTAATTGATATTAAAAGTGAAATTTGAAATCAAACTGAAAAGATATATTAACATTTATAAACACATAAAAGATACCTGGTTACTTTATACACTAAAATTGGTGGAAGAGATAAATAAAAAGTGAATCATTTCTAGGTCAATATGTCCTTTATTAATAAGTGAATGTAATCTAGTATTATTTGCATTAATTAAGCAGGCAGAAATATTAGCCAAAAAAAAGATGTTTAAATTGTTTTCTGTAAATGTTCAAGTTAATTAGTTTCCTGATTTCTATCCATTTTTGAAAAATTATCTTATTTAAAACATCCTTTTCTTGGGCAGGGGATTTAGCTCATTGGTTCTGCCGCCTGCCTTTCAAGCACAAGGTCCTGAGTTCAATACCCAGTACCAATAAAAAAAAAAAAAAACACCCAAAAAACCCCCATCCTTTTCTTAAGACATTTAAATTTAACCAGCCACATAAAAAGGGTTTCATAAGTTTTACTACTTTTCCCTTAAATTTAAATTTCAAATTAAATGATTTATTTAAATTAAACCAATGAAAAACATTAAAACATGAACTAAGTAAAACATCTATTAAATCTCTTTCCTTTCTGTCCATGTTGCATTTTCTCCAGTGGAACTATTAGCGTAGCCTCCTAATTAGGTTTCTATCACTAACAATGTGCTACACAGTGCTCAGTCTTCAAATTTATGATTTTATCACCTTGCCCATAGTTTCTTTAACTGAAAAGAGAAAATTCAAAGTCTTTACCTTTATAAAAACGTTGGCAGCAGAAAGAAAGGAGCAGCCTCTCTCACACCACTCTCCACATGAACCAGACGGAAGCCCTTTCTATTCCCTGGGCTTTTCTTTTCGTCTTCTTTTCTTATTGTGGTACTGGCGTTGAACCCAGGGCCCCTTTGTTATTTTTTATTTTTGACACAAGGTTTCACTAAGTTGTTAAATTGCCCAGGCTGGGTTGGAACTTATGATGCCTGCTTCGGCATCCCTGAGTGCTGACATTATAGGCACACACCACCACACCTGGCTTGTACATTCTCTTTGTAAGTCAACTTGCACTTTTTCCTGCCACCTGAGTGTTGCCTATACCCAGTTATATCTAACATGATTATTTAGAAAACCTCTATATAATTTACCCATATTGTTTTAGATCTCATAATTTACTGTATTTCCTTCCAGGGTTCTGAGTGGAAAATCTACCTTAGGACTCAAAGTAAAAAAGAGCTGGACCCAAGAGATCCACTGAGACCTATCTTCATCATTTAGATGCTCATTGCACTGGCTGTGTAATTGAAGAACAAACAAGGACCAAGGCTACGTGGGCATTGGCAGGGATACATATTTCCACACAAAAGAAACTTTGCTCTATATATTTGTTTATTTTTCTTACTCTTTTTTGAGGACAAACTTTATTTTTGAATAATTTTAGATTTACAAAACTTTTGAAAAGATATCACCAAGAATTCCTATACACTCTTCACCCATCATGGCACCTATTCATGCTACTTTTTTTCAAAACTAAGACATTTACATTGGTGTCTGACTCTTAATTAAACTACAGATTTTTATCTGGATCTTGCCAGTTTTTCCACTAATGTTTTCTCTTTCTGTTCCAGGATCCAATACAGGATACCACACTGCATTTAGTCATCAAATCTTAGTGTCTCTGATCTGGGACAGCTTCCTAGTCCTTGTTTTCCATGACCTCCGTGGTTTTGAACAGTACCAGTCAGTATTTTTGTAGGATCTCTCTCAATTGAGTTTTTTCCAGTTTTCTCATAATTACACAGGATTTATGAGTTTAGGGGAGGAATGGTGCTGAGATGCTCCTCTCACCGTATCCTATCAGGAGGCACATGGTATCAACAGACTTAACCCTTGGTGATGTTAAACCTTGATCCAATATTTTTAAAATTAATTTCAACATTACCTCTTTTAAGGCTCACCATATCACCTGTAAGTGCTACTATTATTACCCTCTTTAGATGATAAATTTGAAGCTTACAGAAGTTCCATACTGAGGTCTCAAAATTACAAAGTGACAGAACTGAGCTTTAGAGCCACAGCCTAACTCTAGAACTACACTGTACATAACAGCAGAGCCTGAGTACAATATAAGCCACCTGATTCCTTCACTCGTCACATGTACATATGTTCACACAATTACACAACTGGAAGAATAACAAAACTGCCACATTAATTCCTACCTGTGTCTGCCTCATTGCCCGTTCCACTCGGCGGGTGCTTCCTCGCTCAAGTTTTGTCCGGAGGATCAAGGCTGATGTCTGAATGGCCCAGAACTTTGGTTGTGAAAGCAAACACTGATGGAAGGAGGGAGAAAAAGATCATAAAAAGAAGGGATAAGATAGAGATCTTATTCTGAATAGGACAAAATTAATTCTGCCAAAAATATCAGGATACAATTAAATTCAGATTTCACAATCTAAGCAAACAAAGGCAAAAAGTTCTTGGTTTTCAATTCACATTACAGAAAATCATTCTAAAACATATGAGAATGCTTCCTGGTCTTCGTTAGAGGTAAGGAGTCTCCAATTTTAGTTTAAATGCTTTCCAAGAAGGGGCATCTAAAGAAAGACTGGCTTACAAGAAAACTTTGATTATGCACATACTGAAACCTAACCCCCAGCAGATGTGGCTGCCATCAATTCAGAGAATATGGTGGAAACCATTAAATAGAATCACAGATGTAATGGGAAATAAAGTGACAATCTGGGGCAAAACAACATGTATTGTGATAAACAGGGACAGCTTGGTATAATGAACACAATTTAAGCTCTGTCTTATAGTGGCTTGGAATCCAATACTGTTCCCAGGTGGTCAGTTCCAATAAAAACTTACATTAAAGCTCACTGTAATGAATGGGAAAAGACTTGTTTATTTGTCAGAAAGCTGAGGCTATCCTTGATCACTGTGTGTTGCCTGTTGCTAAACAAGTATCTGCTTGTTTCTAAAAGTCAGGTGCGGAAAACATCCTAGCTTAGAGTACAATTAATCATTAAAAAAAAAAAACAACCTGGCTGCTCATTAGAAGCACCTGGGAAGCTTTGGTATTTTTCAAAGAAAATCCTATCTCTAAGAACAGATCTAAACATCAGTGTTTTTAAAAATATTCCCCAGGTAATTGCCAAGTATAGCCAACTTTAAGAACTATAAGGCTAAACTAACAGAAATACTTGTCTTTGGTCATATTCATTCTTAACTCCAAATTTTCATTAAAAGTTATCAAGAACAATGCATACACTATATCAAAGTCTCTACAACTCCTTATCATATGATGCCCAGCTCACTTCATTCATTCGTGTTGCCTGTCTGACCCTTATAAATATTTGAGTTTTTAATCCTAATCTAGACCAACCCCCTTCACAATTAACAAGACAATGAAACACCAAAGGTTAAAGCACTTGCTCAATGTCATGCCTTCAGTAACAGCAAAAGCTGGTACTGACACTGGTCTCCCAAGCCCCAGAACAACACCTTTATATTATTTAGAACACTTCTCCAAACAATACACTTATTTAAATGACTAAATTAAAATATGCTTATCCATGCCAGATGTGGTGACACATACCTGTAATACCAGCACTAGGGAAGCTGAGGCAGGAGGATCGAAGTGAATTTCAAGCCAGCCTATGCTACATAGTTAGTTTTAGGCCAGGCTGAACTACATAGTGAAACCCTGTCTCGCTAAGTTTAAAAAAAAAAAAAAAATAGATATGCTTATCTTTTGGAAATGGATGATACCACACAGGATAAATAAAACAGAGTAATGTAACAAGACATGGGAAAGAACCATGGAAATAGTAGACAAGTAGACAAAGAATAAAAAAAAGAGGATCAAAAGAATGAGGCCTTACTGAAGTTGTGCTCTAGACTCTCAGGACAAAGCAGCAAGCAAGACAGAGGGCTGTGCCCTCATAGAACTTACATTTTAATACAGTGTCTTATGAAATAATCTTATTTCTCTAACCTAACTTTGAAAATTAAAATATTTTTATATCCTTGAATCACAGTTTCTTTAGTATATGCAAAACTATTTTGTAGAATATTTTATTTATAAAATGTCAACTCAAGAATTTTCAAAGGGAAGAATTTTCCTCAGGTAAATCTGCAAACCTAACTACCATGAGCAGCATCCCAGTCTTCCTTGTTTGCACCGTTAATGGGATTATCTGTGAACAGGAGGGAAGAGCACTGGGGAACCGTGCTTACAGCAGTGGGAAGTCTCCCAGGTCAGCCAAAGCGGAGCAGAATCCCAGCTCCACCAAGCTAGCTGTGTGGCCTCAGCAAGTCCCTTGATCTCCCCTGCTATAAAACTGAATAATACTCCCCACATCTCACCAAAGCATGAGCATGAAATAAACAGAAATTAGTAAAGCTTGCCAAAGCCTACAAGAGTAGCCCTGATGCACACCTGACCCCCCAGGGCCTCTCCTCCTATGTTTTCTGTCAGCCAAGAGTGGGCACCATTCTGCCAACAAGAACAGTGCAGAACATGGACTGGTTCGAGGCCCACCCCATCAGAGTTAAAGTCCAGTGTTTACTAGGTTATCTCTTGGGCTGGACTGTGGCTCAGTGGCAGAATACTGGCCTAGCATTCATATGGCCCTGGGTTCAATAACTAGCACAGGAAAAAAAGAAAAGAAAAAAAAGTTGCCCCAAACATTTGTACACTGAAAGAATGAAATGTTCTTCTCAGAAAAAGCAAAGTCAAACTGCTTTCTACATTGGCATGAGAACAAGAACCTTGCCTGATACTTTCATGTGAATGTCAAGGAAAACATTGTCACTATACACTGGAAGTAAAATGCAGTCTGACAAAAAGACATTTAAAAAGCTTTCAAGAAGGGAACTGACTAGATAATGGTATCGTGGAAAAATGTCATATATCTTATATCTGTTGGCTAGCAGATAGACTTAAGAGAGTCTTTCTGAAAGGAGGTAGATGGGCTAAATTTAGTATATTGTACAAAATACTGCTGCCATGAGGTAAGAATAAATCCTAATATGGAATATTAGGTAATGAAAAAGAAAACTAAACAAGTTTTATATATGCTCTACTGACTTATGAAGAAAATCACATTTTGAAAAACTTTCAGTCTAATAGTTCAGGAAACAATCCAATGGGAAAAAGCACCAATCCAACCTGATGCCCTGGTCGGCTTTTCACTGAGACCAAAATACTTTTCACCCCCAACTTAATGGAGGAGAGGCTTACTTCAGCTCACAGTTTTAGAGGTTTCAGTCCATGGCAGAGCAAAGCTGCTCGCTTCATGGCAGCCAGGAAACTGAGCAAAGGCACAGAGTGCCACAGAGATACACCCTCCAAAGGCATATGCCCCCTTGACCCAACTCCTCCTAATGGGCCCCACCTCCTGATACCACATTCAGCTATAAATATCAGTGGATTAACCCACTGACTAGGACAGTATACCCATGAATCAATCACTTCAGCAAGAGTCTCCTAATCCAACCAAACTGACAATCAAGACTGACCGGAACACCTGCCTAAGCAGCAAGCCAACCCCACCTGGTGAGAAGACAAGCCATAGTCTACCAGGTGCCCCAACAGGAGGCACTGCTCTTAATTCACTCAATTTTGAACAAAAGAAGTGATCACCCTACTATCTGTTTCTGTCTGAGCTTCAGGTCTTTGCCTCACCTTGTCAGAGAACTTTTTCCACTCCTTCATCTAAGTGATTCCATCTCAATCCAGTAATTCTCTATCTCTGCATCCAGTTTGGCTCCTCTAGACAGAAATCCTAGCAATTTGGTTCTCCAGTGCCTTACAAACTGCCTGGCATATGTTAGTACATAAGAAAAGGACAGAGAAAAGGACTTTTTCTTGGTCTTCTTTTCCAAAGGAACAGAAGGTATAAATTAACAGTGACTGGTAGTTTTTTTAAAAATCACAAGGTCCCACCCCCAAATCACAATTTTCCTAAATAAAATTGGGAACATAGACTTCCAAAGACACAGTATTATAAATAATAAATAGTTATCATAAAATAATGCTTAAATTACTATAATCCAAGTAATTTGTAGGCTTTAGTGGGGCAGCTCAGAAACTTAAACATTACCAAAAGTATTTTTCTTTATGACAATATGCTTTCAAAGCCAAGTAAAATAACTTACAAGTTTTTTTTAAATAAATCTCTCCTAAATTGTGACACATAACATATTTCTCACAGTGTTAAATTGTACTGAAAAACAGGCCTGGATACAGGTTCAGTTCCTCCCCCAATTAGCTCTGCTGGGAAAGGTGTTCACTGTTTTGGGACCTCATTTTTCTCATCTATATAAGGATGGGATTAGATCTGAAGGTCTCTAAGGTTACTTTCAGCTACAAAAAATTCTATTTGCTTTACATCATTAACAATAATAGAGTAAGGTCTCAACATTATTTGTTAAGGGACTTTGTAAAAATCTACAAATTAAGGTTAATTCTTACCTAAACTAGTTTGCTTCCTTCCCAGCCATTACGTACTTCCCCTGGAGTAAGTGAATTAACCTCTCTGAACTAAGATGTTTTATCCATAAAGAAAAAAAGAAAAAGGGACAAAAAGACAATCAAAATTTATCGCACCTCCAAAATTCTTTAATGTTTAAGGAGAAATAATGTCATTACTTACCAATCCAATTATTTAAATACAGGATGATCAAAAATTGCATATTTTTAATACTATAACGGGAAATACAAAAGCAACAATTTTACCAAATTGATTCATTACAAAAATCAACTAGTTGAAATGATACCTGCCTGAGGGACGCTTAGGGTAAACTATTAAGTGGTTAAAAGTTGAGCTCATTCTTTCAAAAACGATTCACATTTTAGTTATTTTATATTCTGATTTACCTTTAAGTTGAATACAGTTATTTCTGACTTGATATTCACTGAAATATTTCACAAAAACATTTTTTCATTGTCCAACGAAAGTGTGAGACATACTGAGAACAGCTAAACTGCTCAAGATTAAAGATAGGGAAGATTGGATAAATACCAAACTGACACAAAGGATCGGGAATAGTGAGGAGTCTTACACACAGGTAATGATGGCTGCATGTATAGTATTTAAACATAATCTGACATAATTTCTTATTACCATAGAAATTCTAGCTACCTGCTATTTAGGTGAGCAGAAAACTATACCAGAGAGTAACAGAAACTTTTTAATGACTGCTCTACTTTCTGTAAGACATTCTATGATACCTTGATAAAGGAAAAAAAAATTTTTAAACCTCAAAAAAATTAGACAGCACTAATATTGCATTTCTGGGTACCTGCTGAAAAGAATAAAGCAGA